CTCCAGGGCGTGGCTGACCTGTGTCCGCCACGTTGTTGGAAAGCCGGGCTTTTAAATTGGACAAACTTTCCCGGCGTTTGATCATCTCCTTCTTGAAATTATCTTTTTTCATCGAAAGTTGTTCAATTACCATTTTCCTCTCCTTATCAAGTTGCTTGGTAAAACTGAACAGATCTTTGTCTTGTTTCGCATTTCTGTCGATAGCTTTTCGCATGTCGTTCGTTGGGCGGAGGAATTTAGGTAGCTGGGTCCTCATAGTCAGGCTGGAGTTATCAAAAGTCAGAGGCAAGAGATGGGGCAAAATCGGCGTCTGTCAGTTCCAGCAAAAATGTAGCTTTCAAGCACCTGGAGGTCGCTCTTGTAATGAAAGCAAACAAAAAGCATTTTCATAAAAACAATCGCGCTATTGTTTTTATTGTACTGTTCAAGATTATGAGGGCTTGATTAATGATTACTGGTCCAATGTTTGTTTTTTTTTTGGGTAAGCTTTTATGGCGCTAGTTATATATATACATCTTTCGTGCACCTTTCTTTATTTTTTTAACCAAAAATAAACTATTCACAGATGTACGAGAAATTGTATCTCAAATTTCCAGGAAGAAGACTTACAGTTGTTGACTTTTCCATTCTTTCGCAATCAATATAATCCCATTATAAAGTTTTCTGACTTGCTTTATTAGCTTATGGACAATTCAATCATACATGTAGAATGACGACCGCGAAAAGCGAAAAGACATGTTTGCTTATTGTTTAAGGTACAAAGCGTGACCTGAGTGATAATTACATGCTTCTCTGTTAATAACTACTGAAAAAAATAAAGAAGCTTTATTTGTTATAGGGCAAAACAAGAAAGAGTACGGACTGGATAACGGTTACTTGATCGGCCATATTTTCATTTCTATTCAACGATGGATATCATTCTCAAAACGATAGTCTCGAGGGGACGTGTGGTTAGCCTGAATTTCATCCGATTACTTCGAGTCGTTATTACTCCCTCCCTCCCTGTTGAGAGGAGAAAACGACTCGAAGCAATCGGATGAATTTCAGGCTAACGTGTGCTAAGAGGGTTTCGAGAAACGCGTGATGTAAGGAACATCTTAAGCATGTGACGCGTGCCGTAAACAACTCAGTGGGGCACAAACTTAACCAAAGGACTGGGAAATTTTGTCCCTTATATATGTCGAACGCGCGGGTACGTGACATTTGCCATTCGATTTATGGCAATAAGGGAAAGGAATTTTCAAATTGAGTCTAAACTCAAAGAGGACAAACAGCAATTTTGTTGTTCGAAATATCTAAAAGTCGAAAACTCTTCGAGTAGGATGCA